CACTCGTATCAGCGATCACCAATAAACTGTTTATCTCTCGACCCTAGTAGGCCACACACACACGCAGATACCATTCTCACCCACCACCAGTATCGGCACCCACCAATAAACCACCTATCTCTCGACCCTTCATAGGCCATACACACACACAAATTCCATTCTCACTCGTCACCAGTATCGGCGAACACCAATAAACCGCAATTCCTCGACCCCTAATAGGCCACAAACACACATATTCTATTCCACCCGTCACCAGTATCGGTGACCACCAATAAACCGCCTATCCCTCGACCCCTAATAGGGGACACACACACACAGATTCCATTCTCACCCGTCACCAGTATCGGCGACTACCAATAAACCGCCTATTCCTCAACCCCTAATAGGCCACAGACCCACATAGATTCCATTCTCATCCGTCACCAGTATCGGCGACCACAAATAAATCGCTTATTCCTCGACCCCTAATAGGCCACACACACACACACACAGATTCAATTCTTACCCGTTGCCAGTATCGGCAACCACCAATAAATCACCTATTCCTCGACCCCTAATAGGCCACACACACACACACACACACACACAGATTCCATTCTCACCCATCACCAGTATCAGCAACCACCAATAAACCGTCTATCCCTCGACCCCTAATAGGCCACACACATACACAGATTCCCTTCTCATACGTCACCAGTATCGGCGACTCCCAATAAACCACCAATCTCTCGACCCCTAATAGGCCACGCACACACCCAAATACCGTTCTTTTTCATCACCAATATCGACGATCAAACCCCTTCCTGTCGGAGTCCCTCGACCATCACCACCATCGGCGATCAACATACTTTTTCTAGGTAGCTACAACCAACATCCACATCCCCCAATGCTACCAACCCAAAAATAATATCACCATGTCCTTACTCCACCACCTTATCTTGAAGTTCTCCTATACTTTTAACCTGTATACCTACACCACACGCGTCTCTCCATAAGACACACACCAATACTTAACACACCCACACCAGTAACGTTCCCCATGCCAACTACTAAATTTACGATAGCTATACCAACCTATATACAACCCCTATCCTCACACCACACAGCTACACCAGTCATCCCCTCACCCTACACAGCTACCCCCACACCCCTATAGTTCGACACTTCAAACCCACGCTCTACGGCCTCTCTTTTCTCCTCCCAAATTTTCTGCTTCCACACACTACTTCATCTTTTACACAAATCTACCTTACTCACCAAATCCCTTATTCTCTCTCCCTCCACGGCCTACTTTAGATACTCCACTCTCAAATCCCAAAATCACCTCTCTCTCCTCCTGCGGACTTCTCCTCATACCTCCCTAATACTCACACAGAATCCTCTCTCCTGCACGGACCTCACTCACACACCACGTTCTTTCCTCTCTCTCCTCCTGCAATCCCCTCCATAAACCTCCATTCGTGCTCACACAAATCTCCTCCCTCTTACAAACCCCACTCACACGCCGTACACCTCTCTTTCACTCCTCCCACAGCCTCCTCCATAAGCCTTCATTCATGCTCACACACGATCTCCTTCCTCTCACGAACCTCACTCCCACACCGCACTCCTTCTATTCTCTTGTCTCGTGGCCTAGCCTCCTCCATATGCCCCACTCATACTCTCCCTCACGGACCTCCCTCATGTGCCACATTCCTTCTTCTTTCTCCTTCCGCAGCCTCCTCCACACAACTCCACTCTTACTCACACAGAATCCTCCACCAACAGTCAAAATTTCAAACTACATCAACCAACGCATGAAACTTAGAGTTTACTGTACCTCCCATCTCCATTTTCCTCTTTCCTTTAGCTTGTTCTGTCCTCTGCTCGCTCCTCTCCGCCTTCCGTCTCTATTTTCCTCCTTCCCTTGGCTTGCTCGGTCACTGTCCTCTGTCTCCTCCTCTCTCTCAATCTTCTCACTCCTCTCCGCTCTGGCTCTTCTCTCTCTCTCTCGAACCTTCTCTTTCCCCCGATCTCTCTCCTCTCTTGTCTTTCTTTTCCTCCCTTTTTTTCTTTTTTCTTTTTTTTTCTTTTCTTTCCTCATTTTCTTTTCTTTTCATCTTTCTCTTTTCTTTTCTTTCCCCTTTTCCTGCCCGTCCATCTCAAAACGACGTCGTTTCTTTTTTTTCTTTATTTTTTCCAGTTACTTCATATACTTCCCCCCTAAAAAAAAATTTAGTCCCTCAAATTTTGTTATCTTACCTCCAAACAGTTTCGGATAATTTCGTCTCACCTCGTCCTCCCGTTCCCATGTTGCTTCCTCATTCGTGTGATGCCTCCATTATATCTTCACCATAGGTATCACCCTACTTCTCAACTTCATTTCTTGTCGCTCGAGAACCCGGATTGGTTCCTCTTTATAGGACAAGTCCTTCCCCAATGGTAACGATTCACACCTTATAATATGATTCAGACCCAGGTGTTAGTTTTGTAGTAGAGCTGCGTGGATTACATTGTGAACCCTACGATCCCGAGGAGGAAAGGCTACACTGTACGCAACCACCCCCACCTTTTCCCGACGAAATGGCCAGTATTGGGGTAGTAGTCAGTCTACATTTCAACTCTTGGAAGCTACCCTCACACTTCTCATCCTATTCAAATTTCACATCCCCCTTTTTTTTTGTCAACCTGGTAAGAGGTGTTGCAATACTCGAAAACCCTTGTACAAACTGACGGTAATTATAACACCCCAAAATTTTATTATTATTTTTATGAATATTATTTTTTATTTTATTTTAAATTTTTGTAAATTTTAAATGAAATAAATGATTATTTAAGTAATAATATATGGTTTTAATTTGTTTAATTTAATTAAATAGAAATAAAAATAATAATAATGATTAAAATGGATAAAACTATTTTTGGGGTTTAATTGAAAATAATTTTAGAAAAAAGGGGTGAAAATTCAGATTTTGGGGGTGTTTTTGAAAAGAAAATCGGAAACTGAGAGTCAAAACGCAATTTAGAAAAATCCACCTGTGGCCAAATCGGAGCCAAACCACCGGCTAATTGGTCAGAAAATGCCGACGAAGCCCAACGGCGCCGCCGCGGGTTTCTTATGTATTTGTCTCCGATGAGGCTCTTCCCGATTCTTGTTCGATATAATTTTTACACCACTGTGACCACCGTCCTTTCCTCTACAGGTTAACTGGAGCAAAAAACCAAATCGCGACTTTCGCCGGAGGAGCCACCGCACCCGAGAGCTCGGCCGCTGGTAAGTCTCGATTTTTTGAGTTTTTTCGGCCCATCAAGGGCCTTACGTGTGTTTTCTCGCAGGAACTGGTCTAGTTTAGCTGACTTCGGCCGAAAACGGCCAAAAATAGCCAACCTGAGGCAGATCACTGCCGGGGGAGGCAGCACCTTCACCGGAGCATGACAGAGCCGCCGTGCCAGAATTTTTAAAATTGGCTTAGTAGGACCCGGGTCTGATTTGGAGTTTTTTGGAGATATGTGCCGGTACGGAAATTATTTCAGTTCCCGGAGAAAAATTCAGGGAATCTAGGGACTGCGCCTAAAAATTCAGGGAATCTAGGGACCGCCCGTAGGCGCAGTAAAAAATCGGTCTTAGACTTCGAATCATGTAAGGATCATTCACCTTATTTTCTATCATGGCATTAAAGTTTAATAAATGATAAAACGGTATTTTATGAATTAATAGATATGTATAATTAATTAAAATTGGTAATGGAGTCCGGATCTGATATATTTTCGGTTAGTTGCTGTTTTAGTTATTTACAGTTTAAATGCATTATGGTATCTGATTTATTTATTCTTTGGTTTTGAATGCATGAATCACTCTT